TCACTCTCTCCCTCTCTCACACATTCTCTATTTCTCTCCCTCTCCCTTTTCTTTCTGCCATAATACTCTTTGGTCTTGTTTGTTTGTTTGTGTTCTTAAAAGTAGGGGTTGGTACTTTAAAGTAGTGGGATGACATTTTAAGCAAAAGGGCTTACAATTTTGTGGCTTTTTTTTTTTGTTTGTTTCCTAGAATTCCCAATTTTCATACAGCTGTAATAAATTGTCTTCCTCTCTCTGAAATTTAGATTTCTTACTTGTGAATTATAGCCATTGTTGACCTGCAGCACTTCGGCAGGTCATAGTGCGATTTTCAGACTCAAATCTCCAATTCTGTGTGTTACAGGGGTAGGTTGTGCACACCTGTATATGTTAGCACAAGCACCCAGCTACAAGCAAAAAGGTAGCTGGGAACAAATGGAGTGTTTATTCAAAATTTTGAAGGTCAGCCCATGGTTGGTATGTCAGTGTGTCAGTGTAGCATGTATTTCTCAGCAGCAGAGAGAACTAAATTGACTAAGATCAGTGTACATGAGCTTTGGACTTCCCAGTTAAGTTCATTATAAAATCAGTGTTTCAATCGATCAATTTCACTGTAATTCAGAACCTGGCATTGCAACACATGTTGCTCTAAGGTATAGCATCCTCTCTGTGGCTGCTAATGGACCTCATCAAAGACTAATTCAATCAATCATAGTACTGTATACTTGTGTAAATGTATTCTATGGGATTAGAACAGAGAACAGTGTCATAGAAAAACATGTACCTTTTTAAGATGACTGCAAGCTTCTACAGTAAAAGAATTTGGATCAATATTCAAAATCTTATCTAGACATTTTATTTAATTCTTTATTTTACTTTTTTAAAAGAAAGTAATTCTATGATAACATGGTTCTTCTAATAATGTCTTCATCACTTTTTAAAATCTGTATCCCACTGTCAGTTCATTAAAGTATTTGTGTATTTCCATACCTACTGTTATGTATGAAAAGTCCAATGAATGAGAATCAAAATTGTGAAGTTTCTCACAAAGTTAACGTTGTTCAGCAAGGAGTAAAGAGATAAGAAAATAAAAGCAATGTGCCAAGACATGTTACATCTTTTAATTGTATACTGTTCTTCGCTGAATGTGATTTTATTATGCAGCCTTAATTGAAATGAAATGTTTATAACAAATATTTAATCAGGATTTAGTGATTAAATGGGCAAATTTAATTTTCCTGTTGTTATTTTTCCTAGGTAATCAATGCAGATGTGATTTAATGACAAAGTCTAATTAAGTACTTTCACTTTGAGAAAAGAAAATTAAAAGGAGAGAATTCACTTTTTAAATTAGAAGTAATGATGAAGGTACAGGATGATTTCTGGGGACTAATGACTCTGAGAAAGCTGAAGGCTCTAGGCTTAGCCGTGAGCCATTAACCTCAGGTGGTCATTAATTCTTCAAGTAATGCTCTATGTCCTTATCGTTATTACAATTCAGCAGTGATGGAATAGTAAGTATTAGCAATTAAAAATCAGCAATGTCTTAAAATGCATATTTTTCTCTTCAACTTTGATATCCTGACTCAAAGCAGAGAATGAAACAAACCAGTGATAGTAATCAGTCAAACCCTTAGTGGTTTTTGTACTTCATTCTTTGTCATTGAGGGCATGGTACATCCTCAGTGTGTTATGTGACTGCATTTGTTGAGCCATACATATTTTTCCCATTAGCCCCACACAAATTTAAATATAAAGCTGGATATGTACTTCTCTAGGGAGCCTTTAACTTGCACAGATGCTTGTTCCTTGTTCTCATCAATAATGATACAGATGCCACTGGTTTGACTGGCATCAAAATGATAGTCTAAATAATGTCTTTGTCTTCAACATTCTAAATGTTGATTTCCCCATCTTTCTGAAATTAATACATATTAATACTGTGTATGAATATGTAATTACTAATAGGTAGACCTTATTTTGCTAGATCCTTTGAGGGTGGTGTATGGCTTCATTAGTCCAAGAAACAAGACAGAATCTCCTTCAAGCCAGCATTATAACTTAGTAAAAACAATATAAAATCAAATACACCTAAATAGAATATCACTATTCAATATAGTGATATTAAATATATATAATATATTCATATATATCATATATTAAATATATTTAATATTCTATATTATAATTCTAAAGTTGCCATCATACCAAGTTACCTAAGTGTCGTTAGTAAGAAATGCATAAGTCTCTTCTGCAATCTAGCACTGTGTACTTGTCTAATTCCTTTGGTGTTCATAGACACCAAAGGCAGACCTTTTTCTGGCAGACCAAGAGCGTGGAAAGCTGTTGATTTTTCTGTTACCATTTTTCTATTCTTGTCAAATGAGTGTATTCTCTAAGAAAAATATATCTGTATATACATATGTATGTATACATATATAAATGAGAATACTGAGTATTTGTTCAATGTGGAGTTGCTAAGAGTGCTAAAACTGTCTTCCATATCCCCAACAGCATCTAAAATAGTTCTGCAAAAGCTTTCACCACCATATCTCTGGTTTGGTGTGACCTTTTTTTTTTTTTTCTTGATATGGCTTCAAGCAGCCAGCTCTGATGATCTGCAGCTAGGTCTTTGTTCAGTTCTGTGAAGATTCAAAAGATCTTGTTACTTCTATTGGGTTATCTGACACCAGCAAGTTAGGCTACCATTTTCTGTACCTAAGCATTGCACTTATATGTACTACCTCATTGGTTCACAGAGTCTGAATGTTCCTAAGTCTTGGCAACACATGCAGTCAGTCAGTACATGGCTCAGAAAGTTGAAATACTTCAGAATTCTTCCATGGACATACTTTGGCCTATGAGCATAAGAGAGATTAATAGGCAAAAACAGCTGATCCACAAACCATCGGTTTATGCGTGACTGGACCAAACAGAATAATAAAGCACATAATTAGGTAGGTCTCATTAAGTATTAAAGTATGTCTGCAGAGTGAGGAAGCCAGTCATGGCCACTTTCTAGAGGGGCTTTAGGTGAGACAAGGACTGAGGGCTGCTGGCAGCATATCCCAGTCAGCAAAGCCATCACCACATTGTCATTATGAACATGGGTAGCACATATAGCACAGGTAGCACACTAAATCATAAAGCTCAACAAATATGGGAAAGTATGGCCTGCAGAATTGGCAGTCTAAGGTTAAAAAGTGTTATGTTTCTGTTTTTACATAACTTTGAGTTTCAACTTATTAGTTTCATTTACATTAATGCAAAAGTTAGAATTTAGAATAAATTCTTTTCAAATAATATAAAACAATATAATAATATAAAACAATAAACCCTCCAGAGCAGCTTTGATTACTTAAGTTGATCATAGTAGCTAGATGTTGAGAGTATAATACATTCACCAATTATACCAATGAATAAACAAATCTTTTGTTGCTATTCTCTGCTTGTCAAAATAAAGTTCTCTATTTTAAAATAGTCTCTGCTGAAACATGTATTTGTGGTTGTGATCTTCCATATCTGCTACAAGGAATAAAGTGGATGCTTGCACATTTTGCCTGCTCATCAGCATGTTGATAAACCTTTTCATATACAACATAAACACTAATAACTTAAGCAAAGCTTAAGTTATGGCTGCTGCTATCAGCCCTGCCCATATTGTCCACCCTTGCTCTGTATCACTTGTACTATTAGGAAGTTAGATTTTTTTTTTTTAAGCTTATTCCTTTACTAATATTTCATTGGTTCCTTCTCCTATATTCCAGTATAGCCATTACTGGGAAAACAGCTGCTGTGTTTTAGTGATCACTATAGAGATTCTGGCATATTGGGCTTGGTGCTAAGGGGGAGAACTCCTTGTGTGTGAATCTATGGCAACAAGAGTGTGGTTTAAAATAAAAAATAAGCCTAAACCAAATTTGGATCCATTTTTGTCACAGGTATTTTCACAGGTTTTGATTTCATACTTCCCTTCCATCTTTCTCATATGGGCAGCATAGAGGTACAACCAATTAGAGCATGGATTTAATTTTTTTTTAAAAAAAATCTGAGCATAATTTATTCAGTCTCTCTACAATAAATGACAAAATATTCAATTTCTCATTTCTGTATTGGATTTGAAGTAAACTATTGCCACTATTGACAACCATTGCTTTAAGACATAGGCAAGTGTACTAGTAGTCCTTGTGGTGTATGAGAAGAACGGCTTGTGATCTTGAAATGAACATTAATTTGCACTTACAATGGCTTCCAGGTATCTCTGAGAGTTTTTGTATTTGAATACTATTCTAAAATACCAAAATACATTGTATAAGTCTGTAATGTGAATTCTATTCCTTATTGTTAGACCCTGGACATTTGAATTTCACAAGTCTTATTTTTACTGTTTGTAAATAAAATCTTATTTACTTTTTTTTTTTTTTTAATCATTCTTTTATTTTTGTGGGCAAGGTTGGTGATAAGAGATTTGGGGTTTCTAGCTCTTTCAAAGTCCTGAATTTCAAGAAATACTAAAGACTGTCCTCTAAAGATGAAACCTTTTAAAGGTGGCTAGATAAGCCTCTAGCACATTCGTCCTGTTTTTCTTGGTCATCTGAGCTCATGCCAAGTGACAATGTGATTAAGATTGCCTGGGATACAGACTTCCAACAAAGCTTGATTGTTTTTTAGCAGTTACTGTATCTTTACATAGTTATTTTATGCTCAAATATTTAATGCTGTGTTGTTCTTACCAAGTGTTCAGTAGGCTTTAATGGTAGTTTAGATTTGTGTATTGGTACTTCTGATAAGATCTATCTTTATGTGGTTACAGTTAAAATGGTTATATCTCTGTAGATGGCCTGTGTCTGGCTCAGAGTTGTATGTAATTGTCAGACTTGATGACTCTGGAGTATTTTCTCTGACTAAATTAAAAATTGGTGGCAAAATGACAGGATTTTTTTTTCTCGTTTAAACCTATAGTTTTTATTATTTTATTTTATTGTATTTCAGACATATTCCACCTGCTTTATTCATTTCAGGATTCCAAATTCACTGCAGCTACATGACGTTGTTGCCTGGAATAACACTGGTAACTGGAGAAATGTAGGCATCTCAGAGTGACACATAATAACAATATGTGTCATGAACCACTGATTAAAACTGAGATAAAGTATGAAGAGCCAATAGTCTACTCAAAACAATTATTAAGCTCTGTCCAAGCAGAGACGGTTTTGGAACAGGTATGACAAGGTTTCCCCTTCAAAGACCTTTTCTCCACTAGTCTCAAATCAAGCATATGGAAAAAGGTAAAGCATGGGAGTCTATACATATCCTATGCAAGAGTACCTCTACACAGAAAGAATTCAAAGATGGTACAGATTTTCAAGGAGTATTTAAAGACAAATATATATGAAAGGTTGGAGGCTATTCTAGCTTGAGGTGGGATATAAGAGGAAGAGACATAAGTGAACTGAGAATAAACAGGGTTTTGAGAATGAGAAGTATAAGTTTTAGTATTGTGATATACAGGACTGACCTGATCACAGTGCACTATTGTCTGCTATCTAGGCAACTGTTTGTGGATAAATATATTAACAAGAGTCTGTCACAACTGAAGAAATGCAGTGACATCTCAATAACTATACTGCTCTTTTGATTTTCTCATTTGGTTACAGGAATAGTAACATCCCAAACTTTTTTAAATCATTGGGATTTTTATTGAACATGGGATAATTTTTTCATCACATAGGGGAAACTTTATCTACAATCAAAAATTAGCACATCATCTGACATGCAAAAGAATTACTAATTGTAGACCTAAAATATGGTTGCTTGTTTTTTTTTTGTTTGTTTTGTTTTGTTTTGTTTTAATTTGTTTTAATATTTAGCTTTGCTAAATGGGAAATACATCTGCACAACTGTATCTTAACACTTTGGCAATGCAGCTTTTGTTACTTAGGGGAGACCAACAATAGGAAAACTCCATATTCTGTGTATAAATTAGTTATTCATTTATTTTATATTTTGTCTTATAATTTAAAAATAAATTAATTTATTCACCTAAGTATAGTAAAAATAAATTAATTTATTCACCTAAGTATAGTATTCCAATTTGCAACTGCATAAAATATACTAAGTAAAACAAGTGTAATTCAAATTTATAATTTTAAAAAGAAAGGGAGAAAGTATTAGCATCTATGTTCATCAGTATTGGTAAGAAGGGGTCTGTAATTTCCAAAAATGTCCACAAGATTTCTGGTACTATAAATGATCTTCACCAGAGAAATTGACCCACTAGGGAGCACTTGAAAGTTAATACCTGGAGTAAAACCCTGGAGTGATTCTATTTTGCAAAGACTTAAATAAAGGACTTAAAACTTAAATAAAGGACTGGGAGTAAAAATGTGTGGCCTCCTATTTCCTGTATCTGCAGAAAATATGAAAATGACAGAAATAAGAGCATCATCTGACATAGTAAAAAGGAAAAAAATAATTAAAAAAAAAAGATTCTAGGAGTAAAATATTACTTACTTTCTAAACATTAGTTTGTTTCTAAAATAATTGCTGTTGACTTTCCTAATTCATTAATTGAACAGTGGTCACTTTATAATAACTGATGGAAATTCTCTACTTTTTATTTCTTTTATCATTCTCATACAGAATAAAGATCAGATGTAGAAATGAGAAAGCAAAGGAATCCAAATGCTCAAAATTCCTTACAGTGCTTCCAGATGCAGCTGGCAAAGATGTATTGACTTTAAAACCTCAACAGAAAAGTGAGTTGCATTGCCAATGATTATACTTGTGTTCAATAATCTTCAGTTAAAACTCCTGAATGCCAATCCATAAGATTAGAATCTTACTTTAGCTATTGTTCATAATATTAAAGCTGGAGAGATGTGTTTTTCCCTCTTGCAGGTAATGGACTTGAACAGGAATGATTACAAAGTAGTGTGGGAGACATCTGAGTTTGGTTTACACTCTTCTGTAGATAGGCTAGTTGTAAGGCCATAATTTCATGACTCTTTATCTTTTATGGGATTTTAAGTAACAATACTTGAGCTTGGCTTTCTCTGTTTTACACACTAGAAATGTGGTGCTTAGTGCTCATGAATGCAGAAAGTGGTCCTTCCTAACACTAGATTTTCCTTCCCAGAGGCAGCTCTGTCCCATCCATTTCTTTCTTTATCCTGTACAAGGATGCTTCTGTGCTCCATGGAAAGAATTCATTAATACTTGAGCACTGAAAGGTAATACTGAGTTCTATGTAATCCTATAAGGTAAAAATTGAAGTATTTGTAACATTTTTTACCACCATGTGTTTAGTGTGGAGCCTACACAGGAATGAAAATCTTCATCAAAAATCAGTTGACCTATAGAATATTTTTACGTGATTATTGCAGGCACTTATAAGATGAAATCAAAGAGTGGTTTATAGTGGGGAGAGCTCACTGGAATTTGTATATATTGGAATTGGAGTGTGTCACCATTTCTATTAAATAATGACCTCTCTGTAAGAGACTATCTCGAATTATACTGAAATATATGGAACACATTCCTCCTCCTCCTTCTTTACCCATCACCTTTATCTTCATTAAAATATGGATTAAGATTCTTATCCTCCTTCTTTATCTCTGTTAAACCACTGTCACTGAAGACAAATTTTGTCGCACTAGCTGCTTTTTACAATGTTATTGTGCTTTTCTTGTATAGAGGAGTACATGAAATTTTCAGCTTCCAGCTTTTCATCCAGATAGCTCTTTGTAAAATGCTATGAGATCTTTCTGCAGAAAAGTTCAGATATTTCTATTCTGCATGCAGACCTCTATCAGTGACTTTTTCGTATGGGTGTGATACGATGTATTCACCCCACACAACACAGTATAAAGCCAAAAGCTGGAAAGCAAGAAAACAAAGTTGTCTAAGCAAAGTTAGCAATAGAACTGTATACAGTTGGATCTCAAAAATAGCTCTAAAAGAAAATCAAGTCCTCCTCAATCATTTTCCCTACATCCTCTGTCCCTGATTTTTATTTTGGGGTAGAGCTGAGAGGGGACCAGGGAGGAACTGAGGGTAAAAACAGGTGTTTTTCAAAATATCTTTTTCTTCCATGGCCAACATAAAAAATAGTATGTATTTAGGTAACTAAAACAGTGAGCATTTATCATCTTACCTGCTGCCTTACTTCCCTTATGAGCACAGAGGGACCATCCAGCTGGAAGTTACAAAATGGCTGGGGAGTGCTGACTCAGCTGGGTCTCAGTTGGCCTTTCTTAAAGTCTGCCAATAAGGTGTGGATATCGAGGATCAAATTTTTATTTCAGCTTTGACTGAGATAATGCAACAATTGATGGTTTTCAGGTGTTCTGGTGATCCAAACAACTCAGTATCTCTGTTTTCCCCCTTCCTTCATCACTTGTCTTGTGAATTTTTCTTCCCATAGGCAGGAAGGCTATTCTGAGAGACATATTGCAGCCATTTAGATATTAGTCTTCCACTTCCAATCTTCTCAAAGTAAAATAGATTTCTTTTTAAATGAAATGAGTAAGAATTTTTTGTAAGTAGATGAGTTTAAATGTCTGAAGGAATGAGGCTTCCAAATGCCTCTGTCTTGTGCCAATGCAGGTGTGCTTGTGCACATAAGTGAATACAGACAAATATTATTGGATATTGCAGTCTGAAAAGCAACTGAACTCAAGAAGTGGTTAAAACTTTTTTACTTCAACCTTACACGACCGTTTGAAGGATACTTTCAGCATCTGAAATGTTGTGTGTACTGCTCATAACCTGAATGTTGAGTGTTTGCCATGTACTTGAGTGGTGAGTTAGCAGTAGTTCCAGGTGATGACTCACCCTGGCTGCTTTTCTCTCTTTTCCAAGTATTAAAAGTGTAGCTTCAGAAAAGCTATCACGTGTCCACTGAATAAATCTAAGTTTTGGTATTATGTCATAAAAGGGTTAACTCCTCATGCTGAGTGCAGTGAAAATAATCAGCTATTTTACCAAGACCTACCATGCCTGTAGATTTGACAAAGCATTACAAAAACAGAACCAAAAGTTAAGAATTAAATTGGGCTATTAAGCATCTGCTAAACCTTTATATGCCATAAATGTAATCATTTCATTAAAAGCAATGGAATTCAACACTGAAAAAATCTAAACCAAGATTTTTCTTTTTCACTCTTTCTACCTGTACAGTGTAACAGTTATCTTTTCCTCTGACTTCTGATTCTTTTCCAATAAATTACAAATTCAAAAAATAGTATGACATTCATAGTTATCTTTTTCTGTGTGTTTTCTTAGCAAATAAGGCATTTCTTCTTATGCTATATGTCAAACATACTTCATATTGTGTGTCTCAAAAAGCAGATTTGACATGCCTCTTGACTGGTGAAAGATGAATGGCAAACTCACTGATCCATCTGTTTAAAATGCTTTTGGAACTGCTGCAGAAAAAAACATAATATTTTATAATTGTTTAGATAGTGATAACATTTTTAACTCTTCTTGTTTGTTTTTGCCATAAAGATATTTGCCAATTCAGAAAGGAAAACATACTGGACCCTAATTCAGCAAAGACAAATTTTTACATTGAATAAACAATTATATTTTTTCTTTTTATTTTCCATCATAAATTAAGTGCCCTGAAAAGTTCAAGAACAGTTTTCATACCTTCAGCATAAATACCAGAAGCATAAAAACCTAAGTCTGTCTGGTTAAGTCATCAGAATTAGGATTAAACCCACAAAAACTAATATAGATCCAGCAGCAGCATACGGCAGTATGTAACTAATACAAGAGAGCTTGAAGCTGGGCTTACTGGTAGTAGCCACTCTGTTCAAATTATTTCACAGGCCGGATAAAATTGCTGAAAATCATATGAGCCTATGGCATAATGAATATTTTACTGAGCCAAATATTCATAATGTAAAAACAAGTTATTCTAGCTCTCATAGCATGTGTGCAAAGTAGACATAATGCAACCAAACCCGTCTTTGAATAAATGCAATGGAATGATTAAAAGCACAGTAATCAGTGGTTATTTAACTGTCATTAATTTTCCTCTTTCCATCGTTACATTCTTCTAAATGTGCCTTCAGATTATTCTTAGCAAAATGTATTTTTAATTTCTAAGTGTGCTTTCTTTAGCTTGCATCATAAACTATGGTCTGTGCGTATATGATTGCAGAAATTAATGTAACCTGTTCATACATATATCAGATTATATCTACCCCATTAGTTTCCTTAATTGCTAAGTAGTGGTTCCTGTATGTATCTCCTGTGCTGACCTCATCTATCAGTGGGACAACAGTAGAAAAGATTCTTCTGTCCTCAACAATATAAATTACTCTTTAGCATAGGTTATGTCTTCAAGCTGGTATAATGGCATTATTCACAAGAGGGAAGTTATTTGTGTTCAGGAGTGTTCTTAGAATTAGTATGCAACATCTCAAACCAGATCTATCAAGGTGAGAACACGGAATGTCTAGGGTCCAACAGCAGGATGAATGTGTAAATATTCTCAAAATTGGCAGTTTTAAACATTTATGGTTACAAAATTATTAACTATTTTTCAAGCTTCATTCATATCTTGTACCTAGAATCAAAGGTATAAAGTTAGTTCTGAAACAAATACATTTTTCAGGACTTTAAAATGCAACTTCCAAATTTTTTTATTTTTTTTTTTTTCAAAATAAAAATTTGACTTTAAATCAAATATCTTAGCCCCAGTACAAAGTGAGCTACATGTGTTTCAGGATTTGCAAAAATATATGTGTCAGAAAGTGGAATTGCCATGTGAATTTTCTTCCAGTCTAGTTAAAGTGCTGTCAAATTAACCCTCAGCACAGAACATTATTGCAGAAAGAGAGTAACCTGGTCACTTCCTGTTATTAAAGTGCATCTTTTTCTTCTGTACTTGCTATTTCTTAAGGTAATGGAGTGGTTTTTTTTTCCTGCATCTTAATTAAAATTTAATATTTTTGAGATATAGCTTCTAGTGTGCCAATTAGCAGTAAACTAACATTGCAAGCTCCATGTTTCTGCTCTGTCTTAGTAACTATGAGGTAAAATATACTCAGTGGACAAATAAGATTATTGTTTTGCAATCAATAACTACTTTTGCAATGATAATACTGTATTATTTTTTCAGTTTAATATTCGTTTAACTTTATGGTGTGTTTTAATTGCCTGTTTTAATTTGCAATGCATTAGTCCTAAAGACTAGATGATTAGTATTTTAAATATTTTTTAAAAGTTATGATATATGGAATTTGTTTAAGTTGGTTAAGGTCTGGTATTTTTTTCTCTTCCCTTCCTTCATTGTTTCCTTCTTTCCTTGTTTCTAATATTGTGTGGAAAGCATGGTTCTTTCCTTCCTTAAATACTGAATTTAAAAAGAAGGAAAATCAAACGAAAGATGATTCTAGAAGGAAAATATAGTTCCTGCAACTATTAGAAATATAAACTCTCCTATAAGTGCTTTAGAAAGTTCCAAAATATTAACTGCTGAATGAGTCTGTAGCAGAGCATGGGACTGCAGCTACAGCAATCACTCATCATTTAATGTCTGAATCACTTATTGCTGACTAAAGAGAAACATCTATCAGAGAACTCAATCCTTTTCCCATTGTTATATATGATTCATGAATTCCAGGTATTATACAATTGCACCATTAATCTAAAAGGAAGTAACGTTTGTCAAAATGTGTTTAAACTAACATTTAAAATTCTTTTCAAAGTAATTGCATTTTTTTCAATATATTTACAATTACTCAGAAACATTCTCTCAGACAACAGCAGGATTTTTGTAATACAGCTGGCATACAAGTTGTTGAAATGTTGTCTGCACTTCATTATATGTTTGCATTGCTGCTATAAAATACAAAATATACAATCTGCTACCAAAGATGAACAAAATTTATAACTGAAAGGTCTTAAGAAGTTAATGTGAAAACCTATTTGTTGTGTCTGTATTTACTCTTAGTTTATTCAGTACCTATCTCTTCAGAGTTTTAGACTGAAAATGTGCATCATATATGCAAGTGTTTTTTAGATTTTTGCAAATATATATATATATAATATATATATAATTATATTTATATTTATATATATATAGTTGCTGATGATACAGAAGGTGCTAAGTTCACGTGTGAAGTCTCCAACTATTTTGTTTGCTCATGGCATTAATGAAAGTGAGAGAAGACTTTGGCACTGATGTATGCATCATAGGTGATCCTGCTTTGAGCAG